TTCTTATTATTTAATAAAATAGAATATCAGCTTTCAAATGAATATATTTTTATTTAATTATGTTATGTAATTGTTGAGTTATGTAATATTTTTGTGAACACCATTTTTTTGAATCACACTGTAAATCATTTTAAAATTCGATTCGAAGCCTTATGAACTATTTAATTTCGTTTTAATAATAATAGTTCACCCTCTTTATAACCAACCTAATTTTTTTGTTTTCATTTGTTATAAAGAGAGAAATTAATATAAAAAAAAGAATTGGAGACAAAAATGAAGTTCATTGTAGAGAAATTTAGTGTTCATTATAGAGATAATGGACTGTAATCATGTTCCATACAATAGATGTTATTAATTTTATAATTTTAACAAGATTCCTGATGAATGAGTGACAGATTAATAAAACCAAACAACTCTTCACTATCTATAATGAACCATTTGGCTTACAAAAAAATGTCTGTTATAGAGAGAACCCATTATAGGCAGTAATAATTATATGTGGCATATAAATTGGTGTAGAGAAAGATCTGTTATATAAAAATCCATTAATGTGATGAAAAGGGGATATAAACGAAATATAAAGAAATCATGGAACTTCAAAAAGGACTTGGAGGAACAGAGAAACTTAGAGAAAATTTTGCAAAAATAAAAATTGATGCTAATTATTATGAAAAGTACCTTTTCTTTCCATTGCCGAAGATTTATTAAAAGCCTTAAAAGAAGGAATAATTGGGGAAATAGTGGTAATGGAACTAGAAAGAATGACAAATGTGCTAAAACATTTGGTAAGTTTTCTAATACTGAATTGTCAATTCAAAAACCAGAATGTTTTAGATAAAAGGAGAATATCGTTGGAAATGAATTACAGTTGACTCTATCTGTACTGAACCCCCCATCATGAGAATTTTCGTTTGTTATAGCCAACTAGATGTGTCACGTGATGGTACTATATATATAATTTATTTTTTTCGCCCGATAACAATTGTAATAATAATTATTTTATTTGATTTAGCAAATATCAAGTTCTAAATATTAAAGACAAATCAGGAAATAAAATCCTATTTATTATACATAGTGAACTCTCTCTATGACGAACAACAATTCTCGGGACAGAGAACTTTCGCTAAATAGATTGTTACACGACACGTATGTTTCACTAAAATAACGAACAAATAAATAACAAAGCAATAACAATGGTAACAGATCTGGGATTAGATGAGGTATATATTTATTTAAAGATTATTTTGTTTCTTTAAAAAATGATGCTTAAAAGTTTTTTATTTAATAAAATATGTAATAAACCATAGGAAATCAAATTATATACAAATAATAAAGAAAGAGAAAAGTATGAATTATTATCAGATTTATATGCAATAATTGTTACGATGGAACATTTAGAAAAAGCTTATATAAGAGATTTAATTCCACACACAGAGTAATGGAATATGTAATAAATTATTTTTCAAAAGAATTAGATTTTAAGGGAAAATAATTAAAAAATCAATTTTTTTATAGATATACACCAGCTTGTGGTAAATTAATAGCACAGTATAAAACAGCCGTGAATCTCGTTAATGATTCTGTTCCTGATGTAGAAAAATTTATGAAAGAGTACAAGGTAATTCAAATTATTGTGAATGTATTGGATATTAATATCAACATCAAATCATTAAAACTATTAATTGTAGCTTGAATGTCCTGCAGCAGTAAATAGATTTAAGATAGGAGTTCCTGCAACTGTTGAACATTCTACTGGAGCAGGGCATGATCCTAGTAATTCAGCTCAAAATGTAGCAGAAACTGTACAGGTAACAAAAATTGCATAATTATTATTAATAACACACATCATATTTTTGTGTATGTATAATATATTATGTGTATTGCCTATCTAACATTATAAAAAAATTTTCATTTTTTTTTTTCAAATAATATATATATTTTCATTTTCTCACCATCTCATCCAAAAATTGAAAAAAAAAGAATTTTATTACTGTTATGGATGTTCTTAAACTTCGAATAAGGGCAGTTGATGAAATTCATCCATTGTTAAGTAATTTAATGCAGAGTTTAAATAAAATGACATCTTTGCCACCAGAATTTGAAGGAAAAGCCAAAATTAGAAATTGGTTGATTACTTTGAATGGAATGAAAGCAAGTGCTGAAATTGATGAGGAACAAGCAAGACAATTATTATTTGATCTTGAGAAATCTCATAATTCTTTCTATCATTCTTTATCATCGGATAAAAATTAATTATTATTACTATTACTACTATTAATATTATATAGCAATTGTAAATTAATTATTTAATGTTATTATTGAAATAATAAATTTAGAAAAATTTAATAATAAAAATGATTTTCCCTAATCATTAAAACCTATTACTATGTATTAAAATGGTTACTGAAATTAATTTTCAAAAATAAATCAAATAGCATACGTTCAAAATATTGTTGAAATATTCAAACAATTCCAACTAATATTTATATACACTATTGCTATGTTTCAGGCATCTAATTCAGCAAAAAAGTTATTTGTACAAACTCTTTTGATTCCTTGGGCATCAATATGTTTCTTTTCTAAATATTCTTTACCGAAATTTACCATTAATTAATGCTAAATATATATATTAATATCATATTCTGAATTTCATAAGTCAAGTATATCTTTGGTAAAAGAAGGAGATTGTCTATTTTCTGGTGAAACACTATTATTTTTCATTCTAATTGAAAAATATACTTTGTAAAATAATTAGAGGCTTGTTTTTAAATTGAAGACATCAAAGTTACACGAAATTTAAAAAATGATTTTTAAAAAATTACCATTTGATTGTGTATATCATATATTTGAATATCTAGAATATAATTACGAGACACTTTATCCATGCATACTTGTGAGTAGAAGTTGGTTTCGCACTGTTGCACCAATACTATGGAAAGATCCATTCCATTCAAAAAATAGCCTGAAGACAATGATCAGGTGTTTATCAAAGGAGTCAAAAGATTTTTTTGTGAAAAATAATATCAAACTATCATTTGAA